TGCGCTGATGCAAATGTAGATCTCTATATTATGAAAGGTGAAGACAACTTCAACACGTGGAAAAAAGACAACTTTTGTTCGGACTGTTTTATTCAGGACATGATTGTGACTAACGGCTGTCAAGACTCTATGGACCATTATACGTTGAACGCATCAACGTCCGACGACTACTACTTTGTCTACAAAAACAACATCTACGATACTTGGGTGACGGCAGAATTCCGATTAAAGAGGACACTGTATAATACGAATGGATTTACAGACAGGTGCTTGAACAGTGTAAACTGTGACCTTGACCTTGACCTGGATTCAAACCAGGTCATCGTGTACCATATATCGGATGACAGTTTTCCTGGTGATTTATCGATAACAACAACATGCAACGCAAGGCCATGGGTTTACGTCCTAGCCTTCGCCGCATGTCCGCTGTTCTTGGGTTGTGTTTTAACTACTTTCGTATGTACATGTTGCAAGGATCCACGAAGCAACGGCCTCCGACAAATTAGACCTCCTCGTCGCGTGTTGTCTCGTTTCTCGAACGAGAGAACATCCTTATTGGCAGGGAGACCCAGGGCTGAAGTGCCTCAGCCACCGAGATACGAAGAGGTTGATTCTAGCGCTCCACCCTCTTATGAACAAATCACTACTTGATCGTGGCAAACCTTTCAGACGATGAGTAAATGATTTTGGTTTAACAGGTTTATATCAGACAAGTCAACTTCCTGTCTGAGTGGTAATGAGGGTTACCATCCGGAAAAACCACGAGCACGGGTATGGTGATGAAGAGACCATGCATGTTTGCTGTTTCATTCATTCTCGGCCAGTGGCCTGGAAGGGTAGTTTGGATGATAAAAGTGCATGGATGTTGCTACTGTGCATGATGATAAAGGTGAAAAAGTTCCCTCGACTGTAATTTGGATTACCCCCACATTCCCCCGGTTGTAGTGAAAATAGTCCACTTCGGTGGACAATCATTGGGGAAAAAATGCAATAACACGTGATCAGTTCAGCTAATCAGAATGCAGGAATGACAATGAACACAGCGAAAATATATTTATTTTGTCAACAATTGCCAGGGCAAGTATAAACTATTACCGGATGTGAATAAAGCCTTCATCCCTTTGGGACGGCAGAGTAGTATTTTATTGTTTGTAGGTTTAGCCATACTCTAGCTTTTTGACGCCAGCATGAACAAAGTCACTGAGCCTGACTACTCGATCCATGTAATCGCCTCGTGTCACTTCGACTGTGGAGAACGTGTTTTAGCCCGGTGTCCCTACATGCCTCTTCCTTAGGTACTTTGGAAATCCATAAGTCATTGACACTTCAGCTTCTAAAATTGCCATTTGAAATATTGTTCATAGACAGATAGACAGACTGATACTAATACAGGGCATAGTGAGTGTGCGTGCGTGCGTGCGTGCGTGCGTGCGTGCGTGCGTGCGTGCGTGCGTGCGTGCGTGCGTGCGTGTGTGTGAGTGACTGGCATTGTAAACAAACGATCAACGCCGTCCACTGAACTTGACCACGATTTCCATTTAGCCTAGTGCAGACTCGATTATTCACAGTCAGCCGTCAAAGAGCTGGAGTATTTCTGAAAAAGCTCTAGAGAGCTGCTACTCCAAGACTGAAGGCACGTTTACATGTCATTTGTGTAACGTGTATTATCAATTATACATCAAGTGGAACCATTACTCTCTCTGGGAGATGCACATCTACACAAAGTGACTCTTTCATTCGCAAGCGTTTCACACCTCAGCACAACGCGGCGGTAGGTTTTGTGTTCTGTTGCCAATGCATAACTTCACCTTAACCCTGTGTCAAAGTCGGTAAATCCTATGGGTGTGCCTGGGTAGTCAACCGTATGACATTAGTAAATCATCGGTCGGACATTGGAGACCGTCTATGATACCCTGCTGCAATACCATTGGGATGGTGTCCCCACATGACCCTACTCTAGGTTCTTTAACATGATCCTACTTTAAATTCTTTAGAAATCCATAAGTCATTGACACTTCAGCTTCTTAAATGCCACAAACAATATCTTTCATAGCCAGATGAGAGACATACTAAAACTAACACAGGGCATAGTGTGTGCGTGTGTGTGGTGCTATTTTTTTGTATAACGTCACAGACAACGATATCACAGCTATATGACGACGGCCTGTAAATAATCGAGTCACCATCGATTTTGTCAGCAATTATCCACGCCGTCGGGGTACGATGACACACAATCAACCATTTCCATTAAGTCTGGTCCACATTATTCACAGACTACCATCATCAGCTGGAAAGTTTCTGATTGCGACGTTCCAGACAAAATAAAAAAAATTCTCACACGTCTATGTCAATGTATATATCTGAGTAAAAGGCAAAAGAAGCATTTCTGATATTCCAAGTACCATGGTATGTTTACGTGTCATTAGTTTACCTTTATGATTAATTATATATCAAGTGGAACCATTCACTCTCTCTGTGGCAAACACACATCTACACAAAGTGACTCATGCGCAAGCGTTTCATTCCTCAGCACAAAGCCACGTTTGATGTTATGGATAAATCCCAAGGCAGATAACTATGTGGTTAATTTATAAAACAGTTAGTTTTGTGTTCAGTTGCCAATGCATCACTTCACCTGAACCCTGTCAACGTCGGTAAATCTTTCACAAACTCAATGACATTCTGTCTGGGCGATATGGTCATCTCCAACAGTTTACTCTGTGAACTCTCATGACCAAGCCTCTTGTCGATGAGACTGAATGACACTGACTTTAGTAATAATATATAAAGGTCGCGACTGGTACTGCTGTTGTTGCTGCAGTCAGGTAAATACCCCACTTGCGTGTAAATTGAGAAGCCTTATCTGTGTCCACTGTTAGTTTGATGTTTGACGCCGAACTCAGGAATATTCCAGCTAAATCATGTCTGCCTGTACATTCTGACTCGCCAAGACAATCCAGTGGTGGATATTGTGAGAAACAATCCACTCAGTCGGGGGTACGATGACATGCAACCAACCAAGTCACCGAGCCTGACCACAGATCCTTAGGTTGCTGGGGATCTATGCTAACCAGGAACCCCCCTTCGCATCCCCAATTGATTCATTTGATCACATCTTACAACCATCATGGGCTTATGGGGACCAATTGTAAACAGGACTCCCTACCGTCGCAAATTTTGCTGTTTTTAGAGTGATTCGTCAGCTAGATGTTCCAATTGACTGCCAGTTATAACTGTTTGACCACCTTATCCAGCCTATCCTGCTGCATGGGTCTGAGGTTTAGGGCTTTGAAAAAACCTGTATGTGAGAACGTGTCCACTTAAAGTTCTGTAAGTGTATTGTAAATGTTAAACAATCATCCCCAGAGTACATTTTATATGGTGAATTCGGTAGATATCCCATTGCAATCTTAGTACAGGTGAGAATAATGTCATATTGGGACAAGCTTATGTCTTGTTGTGACCACAGGTGTCCCCATATTATGTATTGTGTTATGTATAATTTGTCAGATGGTACTGATGGTTGTTATTTTGCTTCAATTAAAACGTAAAAACCGTCCTCCAGGATACAGACAAGTCTTTTGTTTGGATGTCTCAAAGTGTGCCCATTGTCAGTCGGCTAAAAAATAATGTAAAATGTTTTAATAGATTAATTTAAGCAGATAAGCAGAACTGGCGCACATCTGCAGAAGGTTCATCAAAAGGAGAAAATTATGTTTTATTCAAATAACAATTACCCTATACATTTCGTATTTGGTTCACTAGAATACGAACAACAAACCACAGACTCACTTTTGAGACCGGACGATGTTTTAACATAAAAAAGAAGAAAATAGAATATGTAGTCTGTGTAATTTAACAATATGTAATGTATACCAATTCCTATTTGTATGCCCATCACTTTTTTAATCAACGAAAAGTCATTTTACAAAATAAATTTGTACCAATCCCACAGTTGAAAAATGTATATTTCTAATGCAAAGTGATTTCCCCCTTCTAGTTAACTCTTAAACTATATTAAAACCTGTCTGTGTTTATTTTGACTGGTACGTCATGTGGTTATATATGTTGTAATCATGTATGTTCTCTGTGTCACTACGTGTGATTTGTTTAGAATACAAATTCCGCTCTGGTCTGTCGCATCCCCAACTAATTCATACGTTCAACATAGGCTCCTCGGGACCAATTATAACCCAGAATGCTGAAAGGGTCAGTACGCACCGAATCAGTATGACGGCCTATAAGTATTTCCTGTTTGGATCATTTAATTAACAGCTTTTGGGGTTTATTCAGATAGTGTGAACTGCTTTCTTGGATTCATTTTCATACCGAAAAGGGCCTTCCTAAAGTATGCAGTCAGTGAAGTATTATATCTGTTCGTAGAAGTCGTGATCGAGAGAACTGTCAAGAAGAAAGTCATTCAAGCATGCTAGGAGTTGACATTCATAACGATCCCCGAGAATGGATATGTTATAATCTGTACATCCGTTGGTTTGTGTACAAAAGGAGGCACATTGTGTAGACGTGACTGTAATCAATGTTTGGTGGACCGTGCAGGAACTTTTCAGATGACGATGTCTCCTGTACAGATGCCAGAGAACTGCATCTGTAACGACATTAGCATTGACTTCGTTATCGTCGTAACAAACATAATTTTCGTTGTCAAAGTGATCACTGTCACCATCCTCTTCACTCTCAGAGAATCATGCCATGTTCATTTCATCATAATATTATTCTTTCTTGACTTGCAAGAGATTGCAAGATTCTGATTGGTCAGTCAAGGGTTTCAAAGTCAAATAACATGCGTCTAATTTAAGAAGTTCATTGTGAATTAAACGTAATGTAGCAGCCATGTATTCAGGACTTCAAATAAGAAACATGATATTACCAATTGAAACATCTGATTGAGCAGTTTTTTTCAGTTCAGGATAATCTATTTTAATTAATGTTATATTGTAGTATATCCTCGTCGCTTTAGTATTGTAGTATCATTATTCACATTTGGAATGATGCAAATGTTCCCCTTTAAAAGCAGCATCTCTGGATTACAAGTAATCTGTTTAAATATAGCCTTCCACATTCAGAATCTGTCAACCTTACACAGTATTTCGATAATGAGATGCAGACAAATAGTTCTATTTTTTATACCCATGTTAAAGTGCAAAATGAATTTCAGTTGGGTGCTTTTGGTGCTGTTTCTTTCGACCTCCCTCGTTTCATCCCGTGTCAATTATTGTGTTGATTACAAAAATGACAAAACAAGCCTCCAAGACAAAATACGAGCAACTGCAGCCTTCTTATTTTGACATAAAGGTGGGGTGTTAGAACTGTTTCGCTTCAAGAATGCCGGGGTTAAATAACTATATTCGATCGTACAGTTTTCTGTGTCACACGTTGGGTAACCCGAAAACGTAAAAGGTAATTTGTTGTTCTTCTTGTTGTTGAGACCTCATGTGTATTTACATGTATCAGTGCTCTCGTTTCGTTAATGCATTCACGGATATTCAATCCGTCCAGGCTGATTTCAACATCTGAGATCGACATCAACATGCAACGTTTCCGTTAAAAATTCCCATGTAGCAGAGAAGCATTGTATTCCTGACATAAAGGAGGAAAAATATATCAAATGAAACCTAAAATTAAGTTCGCAAGGTATTGGATGTTAATTATTGATGCCGCTTTCAAATGAAAAGCTTTTTCCCTGACACACGTGGTAAGAGTGACATGAGAGTGACGCCTGTGCATTCATATTACTTACTTTCTGTGTTTTGTAATGTGGCTTGGGTACTTCCGGTTGGACCGGAAGACTGACATATGCCGTTTACCACAACTCCATTCGACGTGTCGGGGACGGGATTAGGGACACAGGCCCCTTCATGAGGCCATGCACAGTAGTCAATACGGTAAACAAGTCCGGGTTGACATGTTGAGTGTTTAGCAACGCCATTGTCGCACACATAATGTGATGTGTTATCTGCAGGGTCACAGTACGGCTCGCCATGAGCCCGGGTTTTACAGAAGTTTGGATCACAAGCCTGGCTGAAACGAATACAGAGGCATATCAGTTACATGGTCAAAGTTACTTCCCTTGCAATGGTGACGTCATAAGTTATATAGTGGTAAATTATTCTAACGAGTCCCCAACAACATATACCGTCAAGTGACTAAATGGATAGTGTGGTCAGAACTGGTGACATTGTTGATGTTATGGTATCCTATACAGACAGCATGAATCGTTCCCCAGAATGTATACAACTGCGTTGTCTGGGCAAGACTCGATTATTCAAAAGCGGTCGCCATAACTGCAATGTTCCATCTGTATGACTGTGACATCATGAGTATTGATCTCCGTAATTGGGATACGTTGACATGCATCCACTAAGTCAGTGAACCTGACCACCCAATCCCAATCAACAACAAACAAAACTAGTAATTCGAAGAAAAAAACGAAGACATGTGCTATCTACAATAATGTAACCAAAAACAGTTGTATATATCAAAGCAGACAAAAATGACGAGATTGATAATAGTAGGAAACATATTGTGGCGTGACATGAATCAGGTGTTTGCTTTATTTATACAAGTGGCCAATGCAGCTAATCAGAATGCAGGTATAGCGCATTCGCACGTGCAACTCGCAGTAAAGACAAAATTAAAGTGTCAAGGATTTATTCAGATGCATGTCAAACACGGGAGACATCACACATTACACAACAAATAAAGATACTCAAGCACACATCGTAGACTCCATGAACACCATGGTTCCTCTTCATTCACATCGAAACATCGCAGTTTTGCTAATTCTCCACCACGTGCTTTCATCAGAACAAATTGGGTATTTTTCTTACTAAGGGAGATAATTCTATAAATAGTCTAACCTAGAGCTATATTAAGCCTGTGCAAAAGATGTTGTTTCTTCTCCTCATGTCATATTTAGAAAGGTGTAGCCGGTTACATCCAGTAGCAGTGCAAGGCTTTTACATGGACATGTTCTTAAGGAGTGTACTTTTCTGCATGGATACAACACCTATTCCATATTAATCAATACGAAATTCATAGACAAAAGCATATGTTGGCTAATGTGTGGGACATTCCTCAGATTTAATCATGTCTTCGGAATCGGGAGTAGTGTATTAGAACGCAATTCGCAAAGGTGACTGAATTTACTGATCGTGTATGATTTCTAGATTCACCCAAATTTTGGTCCTTGGTTCACCTCATTCATACAAAGTAACACTGCAAACGAGAAAACGTCGTTTTTCCCCCGTATATGGACATTGAACGAAAAAACGACGCTTTTTGGCGCTTTCGAACCATCGTTTTTCTGTCGAGAATGTGTCGTTATTTGACATCGGAATTTATTGCGAGAGAACGATTTCACCAAGCTCCTCCCTTTGCTTGATTGACATTGTCAATCGAGCTTCAGCGGGCTCTTGCATTTCTATTTTTGGAGCTTTCATTGGCCAGCTCTCGCGTGAATTTGGCGCGGTGCACGTGGCTCCTAGTGGAAGCAATGACATCTAACGGTAGAGTTCTACGCAGATTGTTTAAAGCACGTAATTGATTTGAGACAACGCGACTGTTGCATCCTGTCAAAAAATTTAATAAAGTGAATATTGAAGAAACAGCTACACGTAGATATTACTTTCCGATTCGTGGTCAAATATAACCAACAAGTACATAAGTTAAAATCTGTAAACTGCAACTGAATAACATCCTCGCTCTCAAAACTTATCTTTGTAGGTGGTGACCGTTTGGTATATATTGCAAGAGATAATATACTGATACTTCATCTCTGATATTGCTTGCAATTATAGAAGCATGGAGGCTAATTGTATGATAAATAGTCAGATGGCAGTGTAACAGTGTAACAGATCCTAATGCATGGTTATTGTATTGTATCAGTCACTCTACTAAAGACAACAAGTGTGGCTGAGCTGAAAACGAAACATAGCATAGCGAGAGCGCAAACCCCACCCATCACCCTCACCACCCTCACACGTAACACAAATAGTCAAGGCCTCGACCTGACAATTATGAAACGACATGCGCGCAATGAGGTCAGAGTGGGCTCTCTTCAAATCTCTGTCTGTGTTATAATCCTGACCCGTTACCAACACTGAACACGGCCTTATTCCTTGGGTACGTTCACCACATATATACAAGATGCACTGTGTGCCAGGTCAGTGCATACTTGTAGTAGTGGTGGTGGTGGTGCCCCGGAGTACCTTGCCTCACCCAAGTTTGTCTAAGACTGAGACCACCTCACTTGGTGTTGTTGTTTTGTGTGTATGGGAGGTCGCCTTCTGCCTCAGCAATTCCGGTTGATCTGTCCTTCTTCGGACGTTCCTGTAACTAAACCTTAAAAGGTGGGCCATGGTATATGTTTGACAATACAGTCTTCTTTTGAAATCATGTTTCAGTGTATTCTATATATCACGTATTATTTTAAAACAGACAAGTTGTGTGTGTGAAAAATAACCCCTTTATTACACCAATGTGCCCAAGCTTGTTCTGTTATGCTAACAGTCCAAACTCGAGACTCAGCAACATATCCGATTACACTGGCCCAGGCTGACCCAAGCGGAATCCCGTCAGTTCTCCATGCGATACTCACACTGTAGTCTGTCCCCTAATCCTGAGCCATGACTGTGGAATTTATATTTGTTAGGTATTTTTTTTTACTAAAAGTCTAGGCAAGTCTAGATAAAAAGGCAAGTACAGTTTGCTTGATTGCAAAACAGAAGAAGAGGAAAGGTTCTTTCGAATAAAAAATACATTTTTAAAAATAAATGTTTTCATTGACTAAGTGTTAGTCTATCTGTCCCCTAGATCCTCGGGAAAAAATTTGAAACGGTCTCCAAGTCAAGAATGATTTGAGAAGTCTAGATTGCCTCAGTTCTGGTTCTGAAATCAAGCATTGTTCTGGGCTCCATTTGGATTCTATTGAGTAGACCACGGACTTGTATAAGTCTGTGAGTAGATTTATAATTTTAACTACGAAAATTGTATTTCTCGGATGTTCATTGATTTTCGATGTGGGTGTTTAAAGATAACAAAGTAATATGAAATACATATAATTTATGATGCAGCTAAGGTATGTGCACGTGTAAAAACTGTATTTTGTCGTCAACCAAAGAAGATCTTCAACACCATATATTGTATATTGTTTTAAAATGTCTCGCCTTATGAATACGTTCGTTATTTCAATATTGTATTCAATTCCACACATGACTGTACACAACATTTATATATTTTACATGCATACGACGACTACATGGGCAAGTAAACCGGTAAACACAAACTTGTGTTTGTTTAACATTTTTGTGTGTTATACCACGTGTTATGTTAAACGGAAATATAAACATTTATTCTGTTCGGGTAACTGATTGTAACTATTTCCTAAATAAAACATTATTTAAAACGCATTAGCTCACCACTTTGTAAAATCTGTGGCCCGGTCAATATCAAATAGCTACGACAAATGAAAACAATGACATTTCAAGCATACAAATATTTTTTGGGGCCGTGTAACACCAGATCTTGTGAGCAACCAATACTCATGTTGTAGACAACCATAGAAATATGAAACATCAATGCTAGAGAAAAACCAATTTCGATTTTCCAACAAAATAAATTCCATTTGGCGAAAATGGTTACAGTAGGGGTACAAATATATTAATGGATCACTGAAAATCAGTGATGACGTAGTTGTTTGCAAAAAAAAGTTGTTGCCTCAGATGAATATATGAAGTTTTGCCGAAACAGTAAGGTCTTAGAACTCTTGTTTACTAGCTGGGACCACGTCAATATACCCTGTTTGAAATATATGTACATGTAAAAAGCTTCGACAGAGAGTATTGCTATCTGGAACGGTTTCTGCATACCATATAGACATTTGGAATTCCATTTGTGCACACGAAGATGTTTCATTTATCAAAAGTTTGTTTGAAGGGAAATTTTTCTTCACCTACTCTGCTGCAGGCTTCTATGCAGGGTTGGAGTACACAAGACTTTTTAAAGACTATTCAGTTCAACTAATCAATCTACTACAGGTGCTAATAAAGAATGTTCATATATATATATATATATATATATATTTATACAAATGCGACGTTAGGGCGACATTATCGCAACCTTTAGGCGACACGTGTCACCCATAGGATATATTTCTGTCGCCTAAAAATCTACACCCTACAATTATGTTATTTTCCCGCAACAGCCACCCCAAAGTGTTTATTTGGATAGAAGGTCTGCACAGGACGTTCAGAAATGTTTCTTTGACATTTTATTAATAATGTAATGATAATATTGATGATATAAAAATATTGCGAATATGACGTCTGCGACCTTTGGGCGACATGGGGTTTTCTATAATATTCTCGAACACCTGGATATATGTTCTGTGGTAACAAATTGATATATTATGGTACAGATATATCTAATTAGTTTTTGTTCAGTTTTTCCTAATATACATCTCAGAACGTGTTCTCCCGAACATCAGTGTTTCGCTCTCTCGACTTTCGCAGATCTTCTCCGAGAAGGAAGTGTCGCGTCAAAATATGTGAAACTCAGAAACGGCAAAGTCGAATTTAGCACTTGCTAATAATTCGTCCAATGCGTGTGGGTATTGTTGACGTTGACATATAATACGCCATACTAATTCTTCAGTCAAAATAAAACTGTAAAGATAAATAAAAAAAATTGAATGAACAATTCGGCATTTTGTGCCATTTCGTAACTTGAAATTTGGTAGTTACCACTTCCCGCGCTTCCCAAGGAACTGTACCATGGCGGCACTAAGTTATGGGAAACGGATGGTTTGTATCGTGATTGGTATATCTTTTTAAACACAATTGTATGTATAAATTGTATCAAAAGTGATGCTTGTCTGATGCGGTGCTCTCAAGACACAAACTATTTCAAGATTTCTTATGTGAACAGAATATTAGGTCATTTGAACTTGAACTTGTGCTCGTGGATTGATCGTTGTTGATTTTCTTTAGCGAGATATGTAAACACGTTTTCTGTCATTAGCGACCTAAGGGCGGGCAACTCTATATATTATTTAGCGGTACGATGTGTGTGAAGTATGTGCTTACATCACTTCCTGTTATTATAATTATGCATAATCAGTATGCATACGACCTAGGTTGGGTCAACCTAATATCTATTTCCGTACCATCCATCTGTGACGATCCGGGTCAGAATAGGTCGTCATCAACTTGCTTTCCGTAAGAATCGACTATGCTTGTCATAAAAGGCGACTAACTCGATTGGGTGGTCAGGCTCACTTACTTGTTTGATGCATGCCATCATGTCCCAATCGTGTGGAGTAGGCCTAATGCTCACGATGTCAATCGATCACTGCATTGTTTGGGAAACCGCCGTCATAGAGGAGTAATATTGCTGAGCCTGGTGTTAAACAACTAACAAAACTATTTCCACGCAGGGATATATTATAGGCCTGTTTAGGATTTCAAAGTGCCCATGGCAGACACATTGGATAACTTTGTTCAAATTAGGATTTTACTAACATTCCTTCCTTTTTTTAATTATTGTGTAGATCTAGTTTAACATTCCATTGAATACAAACATGCAAACACTAAGCATTAAGCCTCTTCCTGTTGTCAGATACATATGCAAAACCATAACATAGGTTATTAAAATATGACGTGGATACATTCAATTCCAATATTGGAATATTTACTGACTTTTGCTATAAACCTTGCACGAAAAATCAGTGTCTGAGCAGGCCGAGATAAATTCCTACCTTGATATTAATATATCTGGTAACTACTAGTGAATTACTTTTAGCCTGCGAAAAGTAGTGGTGGAAAGATTTGGAGTAAATGTAACTTGCCGCAGAATTGGAGAAAAATCGCAGAAATGCCTTTTTTTATTAGAACACCAATTTCCATTATTTTCAAGTTGTTTTTTTATCGAATATTGCTCCACATGATACTGAAACAATTAATATGTTATTTTGATTTACAACATATGAGATCTGGGATAGACTTAAGTCTTCATCAACCCATGCTAGTACAATTCATCACGATACATCATAGATATACACCTGGATAAAAGGTAAGCTTGCTTTATATTTCCACACTAAAAATCATATCCTGTATTAGTTTTCTGATGAAACACATTTCGGTGTATATTTCGAGTGATTTTTCAAAATACATTTAAGTCGAGTATGCTGTTATCTTGAACTGTGTTCCAGGTTCCAGGTTAATCATGGTTATTTTTTATCAGATAAGCCTTGTTGAAAGTGTCATATTTTCAGGCGCCCTGATCCTTATTAGGTGTAAAGTTGGTCGGATAAAACTCCTGATGTAAAATTATAAACATTGATCGGTGTGTAATGGAATATGCTGTTTATGTGCAATCAATACAAAGTTTTAGGCTCACTCGCGGTAGTTGACACCTCATTCAATTGTGTCAACCTTTCTCTGATCCCACCGAATCCTGTACAATGTCGTTTGACTGCATCAGTTTGGTGATGGTGATGTTCAATCTCAGCAACTTAATCCTACAAAGCTGCTGATACAACAGTTATTGACATGCATCGTTATTGCCTTGTGTTCAACCTGGAAGATCTGGGTTAAAATAGGTCTTCAGCCACCCATGCTTGTCGTAAGAGGTAACTAACAGGATCGGACGCTCAGGCTAGCTGACTTGATTGATGCATGTCATTGATCCCAATTGTGTGGATCAATGCTCATGATGTCATTCACTGGATTGTCTGGTCCAGATTTGATTATTTACAGACCGTTGTCATATTGCTGAGTGCGGTGTTAAACAACAAACAAACAAAACAACATATAAATCGTGCAATAAAACAAAATCATATTATTCTCACTTTCAAATATTCATGTGGTATAACAACAACATAAACTATGTTTACATCTGATCATAAATAAATATCAGACACTATGCTTATGTATTTGCTTCATCTTGTCTAAATACAAGAGATTGAAAGTTTTAAAGAAAACAAAATGAGTTTGTATAAATGTTTGAGGTGGAAATGTTTATGTTTTTACAACAGAATATTGATATTTTTACAGCTTTATTTGTCTGTGACTCAAATAGGAACCAATCATGAGCAAGCTTGTCCTTGATTGTCTGTGTATTAAGTTCAACAACCCATGTTATGTAAGAGACAACTAACAGTATCAGGTGGTCGGACTCACTGATTTAGTTAGTTATTTCAATTGTCGTTTGTAATTTTGCCTTTGGTATTATTTCACACATTCATATGTACAGATTTGTATGTAGCCAGCAGGACTTGCTCCTTTAAAAAGCTGCTGGCCCTTCTCCAAACTAACTGGCCAACTAAATGTTGGAGGCCGAAAAGTGACCGGACCTGAGATCACCTGGCGAGTCTGTGACAATATTAGAACTCTTCACCCATGACATGCCTTTTCCCTGCACTCTGGGGTCAAATCTTTGCTTCCATTTGCCTGAATCCATGGTGATTTATGAGCAAATGACGATGTTGTTGTACACAACATCACAAAATGTCAACCAATTGTCATTCTACCAACATGATTGACATATATCATTCTTTGATATCCCAACTTAATCCCATCGAAAAGATTCATATGATTCACGAGCAGTGTCGAATTAAAACAATTAAACCTACATGGAGATGGGGTGAAAGTTTGACTAACCAGATGGACCACCTACATTTTGTTTCAGCAAGCCCTTTGTAATTTTAACTAGCCACGGGCCAACGGCCATAAGTTAAATTGATCCCTGCTGGCTACACTTGCCAACTCACAGATTGAATCACCTGATCTTCCTGTTTCAGCTTCAAAGAAGTACCCAGCATCAGGCACAAAAAAAGGTATTATTTTGTCATTTTTACTCAACTGTTCCTTGACCACTAATACTGATAGTGTGTGAAATCAAACTGTCCATTGTCTGTCATCTGTAAATATTTAGTGTACTTACACGCAAAGTACTCTAGAAATTAATTCAGGATATATGACCTGAAATGGAAATGGTTTTCCCCATTTAAAACTAATAAAAGGGACACCAATACATTGTAGCATAGCGTATAATTAATTCATTGGTTCATTTATTTATAGAAGAGAGTTACTGCAAGAGAAGATGCAGAATGGTGGATCTCAGTTGGGGTCGACAAGGAGGGCTTTGAACTAAAATTTGTCTCTGATTATGTAGGCAAGTATTTTCATGTACATGTCTTTAAAAAACAAACCAAAACATCAGTTTTATGAAACATCTTAAGGCTTGTGAATAAGACGTCTGTTTGTTCATCTGTTCATCATAATGTGAGGTTGTTACTGCCACTTAAGGGCTTCTGTATCCAGTTATCTGAGGGATATGATTGAAATATTTTGAGTGAGTGAGTTGGGTTTAACGCCGCTTTTAACATTATTCCAGTTATATCACGGCGTGTCAGCTTAATGTGGGAGGAAAGCCCGAAGTGATGCAGGTCTCAGACGTTTACCACTTCGGTGAAACCCACGAGCACGGATATGGTGGTGACACACCTAGAAACATAATTTGGGTGAACCGGTATTCAAACCCACAATCATAGGTTTCTGGCATGCCCAAGGGACGCAACTCTGCACAGCGAATCACGGCGTCTTAGACGACTGGGCCACCCGTGCCCCCTTGAAATATTTTGAAAAATGATCACAAAAAAAGCGTGTGTGCTAAAAGCCGCTGGACATACTGGAAGGTTATGAATTGTTTAAACTTGCAAATCCCTTTCATTTTCTATCACTACACTGTTCTTATATAATGTATTTTGCATTCCACATTTCAGGCTTTGGTGTTTTTACAAAACAGTCATTTGCGAAAGGGGACTTCCTTTTGGAATATCGAGGGAATCTTATGGATGAAGAAAAAGCAAAGGAGTTGGAAAGAAAACATGCTAGAGCACAGGAAGGCTGCTACATGTTTTATTTTACTTTCAAAGACAAGAAAAAGTGGTAGGTGTTTTCAATAAGATTTGTGCATGGGAGTTGTAAATGAGATAAATTTTCATAGTTATTGATAAGAATTTTATATTTTCCTAGGCCTTTATTTACCCTCTCTCTTGATGCTGGAGACCGACCAGTCTAAATGCTGTAAACACCAATCTGTCACTCAGCAGTCCCTTGTCACAGAGAAATTTGCAGAAATAACATTTCAACTTATCCTGACTCATACTTATTGCTTATTGCTACTGATTTCTGAAACATCTCACCCGAACACACCCCTGGACATTGCATGTGCACTGGAAGCACATGACCAAGTCTGGTTACTTGGCACTTTCTCATTTTCGCGCCAAACAGGTGGTTGGGAAAAAATTCCTGAGCTATGTAATCCGAGCCTTCCTATAAAAAATTACACTCTTTTTCATAAAACGTTTTTCCTAGGATTACATTCTTCCAGCCTTCTAGTATCATATCTAAAGATTATTTTTTGCATTTGTTCAATGGACTAAAGAGTGAGTGAGTATGGTTTTATGCCGCTTTTAGCAATATGGGGGGGCACACCAGAAATGGACTTCACACAATGTCAGGAATCCAACCCATGTCTTCTGCTTGATGAGCAAACGCTTTAAACACTAGACTACCCCACCACCCCTGGATTATAAGAGGAGTTAATTACAACTCGATCTGCCCATCCAGAGCTGCCTAAGGCAGAAGGCTTGACACCCCTGTAAAGGGTACAGCCAGAATTATGTGTGGCTGCCTGCAACTCAAAGAATTGCTGGTGAAGAAGAATACTTCTTTTAGTTCATCCAAGTAAATGCCGACAAAGTTTCAACACGTGACGTGTAATGCAAACGTGAATATCACGAACCATAATGCTGCAAGTCTACATGGAAGATGCAGAAGGAGAGATGTTCACAGCTGTCTCCCAACACAGACAACATCAGCAATGCAGAATCAACCCCTCATGTTAGATTCACGCAGCCTCAAGGGTTAATGCAGGGGTTTCACAGTCTGTCTGCACATACAAAGCCTCCACGCAGCAACCCATCTACATTTTCTTGTCTTTCGGATACGAAACCGGCCCCATTACAAGACTGAACTGCTTTTCCTTGCTTCCGGTCATAATACATTGCTTAAACTTGACTTGGCTCAGTGTCATGTCGATGTCAGTTGTCTTTCTTTACCTTTATGATGGAGTCTGTGGACTCTATTATCATCCTAATTTCGCACAAAATGTTGAATATGCATTATACAGTATCAAGATACGTATCGTATTGTGGTTCTGTATGGAGATGTGTTTCGTATTGTTGACAGACGCACAGTGCACGCACGCATGCACATACACACATACGTTCAATAATCTTAAACGCAATGTTAAACCCCACTTCGACTTATCGAAAAGATCAGGCCCTCTTTCTGCCCATGTGCCACAAGAGAAGAAGCATTGTAAGCTCAGGGCTCTAAGTGATAAGTACTTAAGTAAAGAATGTAGTTTTCAATTCTTCACTAACTTCTCTAATTTTCGATTATTTCTCTTCTTGTTTCAATTAAAGGTTTTCAGAGCTTTGAGTCCAAGTAAAAAATTATTAGCCTTTGAAGCCACGTTACTTTTATTTTCTATAACTAATTTAAAAATTTCAGTATAGATGCAACAGAAGTCTATTCTTACCTGGGACGGATGGTCAACGATGGTGAGTGGAAGGAGGAAAACTGTGTTATGAAGCTCATACCATATCGAGGCCTTCCACATCTCTGCTTGTTCGCTAATCGTGATATTAAAGCTGGAGAAGAGTTACTGTATGATTATGGGGATAACACTGTCAACTGGCGAAAACAGGTTAGTGCTGGCTATTTGAGACTCACAATTTGACTGTAGATATCCTGATTTATCTAAACATGAAGTAGATACTTAAATATTTGTAAAACATCCCAAAATTGCTCTGCACACGCCGATTGCTGAAGCAAGACTGAGGGTATCAGTTTCATCGTTCTTTACAGTGAGTGCCTTTTAGACTTGCCTGCATATATTATTTTGTCATGTGTGATGTGTTCACACATTTATTATTTCAGCATGTGTGATAGGTTCACACATTTATTATTTCAGCATGTGTGATGGGTTCACACATTTATTATTTCAGCATGTGTGATGGGTTCACACATTTATTATTTCAGCATGTGTGATGGGTTCACACATTTATTATTTCAGCATGTGTGATGGGTTCACACATTTATTATTTCAGCATGTGTGATGGGTTCACACATTTATTATTTCAGCATGTGTGATGGGTTCACACATTTATTATTTCATCACAAGTATGATGGGTTCATACTTTGATGTGCATAATAACAAAGTCAGTATTTATTATATGGAAATTAGATGCAATGAAGCTTTTGAATGGTAGTCTGATAGATTTATCTTTAGACATCGGTTCGATTCCGGTCAAAGGCAAACCACATCGAGATTCCTTATTCACTGCATGTATTTTATTTTGTGATGCAATGTATTTTTTTTAGTTTACATTCATATTAATGTAAATGTTATTTTTCTAACAACAAATAACTTTAGTAGTTTTGATGCCACGGTAAATATCATTTTAGTAATTAAATGTCAATGTTATCGGGACACTTAAATACTGGCTGATATGTTGCACTGAACAGCGGTGGAAACTAACAGTTTCAGTCCACTGTAGTCCTTATAGTGATAGCATATAGCAAAACCTTTAAAAATGTCAAAATTCTACTAGTCCTTAGGATACCTTTACTATTGGGCAGTTTGGCAAGGACTATAGGACTAGTGCCAGTTTCTAACCCTGCTGAATATATGATGTTAGGAAACTACGGATATAAGTTATGTTAGCTCTTCCAGAAGTAAACTAGTTGCATTAAGCCGGTTAGATAAGTTGGCAGAGAAGAGGAAAGTTTTATAGTGTGATGACATCCAAAACAGGAATTTATGGCTATTGTTTGATGTTTGCATAAATCTTTACAAATCCTACCACCTGAGATAAAATCAGCTTTTGGATCAATGTGAACATGTTTTGCAGAAAAGATCTGAAGGTGAAGAAGTTCTCTCTCAGCCTGGTCAGTGAGATAAAACAGATGTTGTTTTGTTTCTGTGTTTCTTTCTCTTGTTTAGTGACAGCCTATGAGTCAATGCTATTTATAAAAATGATAATTGAGAGAAAGTGTCTGCAAATCAACTTCTATGCCACAAACTACTGAGTTCTGGTCATGGTGGCTCCAAAAGATAAGGCCGCTTTTATTCCTTTGTAAATGCATTATATTTGTGTTACAAATATCAACTATTTTATGCACAATCAATTAGGTCAAAGTCTGTTTCATTCCCATCACTAAAACCTTGAAAAAAGAAAGTAATGGTTATAGATACCTAGTTATGTACATATTGATTCTTGCAGTGTGATTTTCTTTTGCAGATATCTGACTTCCAATTGTCATTATAATCTTTTGAAAAGTTATTAAACATGATTGTATTATCGACATTGTTTCGTTTAGATTTTGCTGCATATTTGTATACTTTGCATTCTATATTTATGATAATCAAACTTTGTTTTAGAGTAATACCTTTTACCTCAATCAGAGTAAATTAGGTCAGATAATGTTAATTGTTTCTGACACATTAAAACAATATTCAGGTGGACAGGATGTTTTTAAGTTCATATATTGTAAAAATGATTAAAGACCCAGAGGAGCGTATCCAGACATCCATCATCATCTGTCTGTCATTAACTTTAAGATTTGGATTTAGCTTGTGGAGAGCAAAGTTTTGATAACCAGACAAATTGGACAAAAGATACATGTTTTTGTGATATTTACTGAAACCTTAAAGGGGCACTGATCTAAAGCAATTCCCCGGGTCTGGTTGTTGCCTTTGTTATTGTTTTTTCCCAGTGAGTACCCAGATGTATAGCAGAAATCTAGACTAGTTCGTGACCTCTGCTGCGCAATTCGTAAGCGCATCAGTCACTTGTATGGGTAGTAATAAGGGCGTATGGTCACATTGATCAACAAAATGAAATACAGTTTTCTAGATAACAAGGAAATGTAGGTATCTTTGTGGGTAGCATCGGTAATGGTGATGAAGTTTTGATAAGTCACTTGCTTTGTAATTTTGCGATTTTCGTTTACACTATTTTGATTTGCAACACAAAGTAAATATTTCACCTGAGCATTGCTTTTTGATAGTGTGTATATTTTTTTACTGTCAAAATGTGTAACATTTTCAAATTAATTAAACGCCTAAATATTCAGTTATTTTACAAAGTTTCTGAAAAACATTTCCATCTGTATTATTATGATAACAAATTCCAAACATTTTGATGTTTAATGTCATCACCAAGAGACTGAAAATGTTACGTTGAAAAGTACATTTCTATGTTGTGTGGCTTCTAATCCTACATAATAATCTGTTGTGATGTTTTTAGGCCCTTTTGATTGTCTTAATCAATTTTATTCAATCTGGACAGATTTTTCAGTCAAAATGACTGAAATAGTTACACATTTTATAAATTGCCTGAGAGAATCACATTTTACAAATTGACGGTAATATATACACGCTTACAAAAGAAAAGACTTGTGAAAACAACGTCTATCGCGCATTGAAGAATTTCCCAACCAAGATGTAGAAGAACAAGAACAAATCGGTTCAATGCTACAGCAAATGAAGGAAAACAAAATACAAATACCATAATTACAACCTACCACTGCATGGATACTTTTTTTATTATTAAACTATAACCATCTGAGGTATTTCCAAATGACGACATCTCATGAGCTCCGCCGTTCTTTTTGTCTGTTTGTTTAGGCTAAAGAAACTAATTAACATGCGCCCTTTGTTGAAATCTTTATAGATCACAGTTAACCAAACAGTTTTCAAAAATGCGTAAAGCAAATATTGCCTCCAAGTTTATTTAGCTGTCCTTGCAGACGGTAGCCCAGTCTCTAGTCACGCTCAATTGCGTTGCGTATCATCCGGGTACTCACGGGGAAAAAAACAATAACAAAGGCAACAACCAGTCCGGGGAATTGTGTTAGATCAGTGCCCCTTTAAAGTTAATGTTGCCTTTACTCAGCCATTTTTTTTAAAAGAAATGAAATGTGAAATATCTGTAGTTTATAATGTATAGATATTTGTAACATGCATAGTTAGTAGTGGAACTCAACATTAGAGCTGCAACGAATACACTATGAGGAGAATGCGATTTGTATCACGTAATAGAGTAACAAATACAAATATTAATTCACAAATACAATAACAAGTCAGCAGTTGATGTATTATTTGTTATATTCAGTGAAACTAAAGCAACACAAATTATTTGACATGGTTTGTTAATTATTAACATATTATAATATACATTCATATACTGCACTAATCCAGGTGCTAGTATCTGCTCAAATGCAACAATGACCAGTGACCACATTACTGTCAAATGAAATGTTATAAGAGTGTTGTCTTTCACGAAATCTATGAATATAATATGTTTTAATGGATATTTTTAGATACAGGGTATGTAAATGAACATGACTGCATATTCATGAATATTCAATTCTATTGGTCACGAATAACGAATTCAATTCATGAATGGATACAGTTCGATTCAATGAATACGCAAGTGAATCGTAACAGCCCTACTCAACAAACATGAGTCAGATTGAAGTATAATTTGAAGCACTCATCACTGAGCTATCAGGTGAGCAATATATATTTTAGAAACAGTGTCTGTTGACCTTTGATATTTATACTGTGCTGATTCACTGCAGATACTGATGACAATCCATTTGATTTGTCTGATGTAGATGATCCCACATACCAACAAGATGATACTTCCAAAGGTAATGGTCTGGACTTCTTTTATTGTATTGCATATTCACAGCTATGTTAATATTCATGCTCATACCTAGTCTGTACATCACTTGCTTGATAACGGTGTTAGAATCTACACCGAAACGTCGCCCAATTGTAATAAAGAAGTTGCTCATCCATAACAATTTTGTCTTAGTATTCATTCCAACTTCTAAATGCCACTCAAAGAAGTTATGTTAATAGATCAACTAAAGAGTGAGTGAATGAATATGGTTTTAGCAATATTCCAGCAATATCAAGGTGGGAGACACTTAAAATGGGATTCACACTTTGTACCCATGTAGGGAATCGAATCAAGATCTTCAGAGTGATGAGCGATCACTTTAACCACCTGCTTAACTATTTTAATAGCCCTTACATTAAGTTTTACCTTTTCAGTACTTCTTTTGAAATCACTGGACCAGTTAAATTGAAAACTTTGCATAGATGTATCCCAATTGTCTCAAGTTGTTCCTATCCAAATTTCTTATTTCTGCCATAGATTAGTTTTCATCTGTATAAGACTGTGATACCAGTGTTTGAGAAAGTATGTGTTGTGTAGTTTATGTTTGGTATTTTTTGGGTAGATTTTTTCTCAGTAAGTTGTAGGCTGTAAGTAATTATTCATTTATTTCATATTAGTTCCTGTATGTACCAAAGACTTTCATCAACCCTCATTCCTAAAATGGCTATAATAAAACAATTGGCCTCAAACATTATTTTCTTTCCCCAAGGAGACACTTGGGTCCTTCCATATTAATCCAATGAGTCATATGGAAAGTCAAGGAGCCAAAGAAAATCTAATGGGCCTATTTTCGATTAAGGATATTTAGAACATTATTGTAAAATCTATATTAGAAAGTCACACAATTCTTGCACTGTACAAAACACACAATGTTTGCCAGTTGCAGGTCAGATTATGATTCTATTATCGACTGAAGGATGTTTCATCTTTCCCAGCTTGTGCAATTTTTATGTTTTCTGTCTCCTAAATTTTAATGAAATAAATTATGTTGCTGAAATTGTATTTTTTACAAAGTGGCTTTGCAACTTCAGATTCAAAATCAAGTCACTTTTGTAAGTAAATTAGTCACAAGCTGATGGCCAGGATAATATATGTTTTACAACATGATACAACATTAAATCTGAGGCTTGGGTTGTAATCGTATTATGATAATTGTAGTATGTTCTTGTACATTTACATTGTATGTATAAGTATGCTGTTTACTTTCAGATTCAAACATTTCCTCAACTTCCCTGTTGATCACTGAATCAATAGGCAAGTAATTTACTCACAGTTACCATGAATAGTTTTCAAAAAGAGGTTTGTTTCTCTAGAGTAAGTATTTTCAGTGAATAGTTTAAGAATTGACTTGCACTTTGTGTGGGTTCATTTGAGTCTGAACCTTCATAGAGTGAGGACCAAAATGTATGAACGTCTGAGAACTCACACAGAGTGAAAGTCAATTCTTATAATTCTTTATCACATTTTTTTTGAGCGATACAGGCCCAATGGTCCTCTTGTTTAAAATGAAATTGGTTAAAAACAAACTCATACACCCTGAGACTGTGTTTTTTCCTTTCAGATTCTGAATGCAGTTCTCTACTTCCAACTATAACAAAGTTTTTGCATGGTATATGATTCACTTTAAAAATTGTCCAATGCTTTCCACACAAGTCACAGTTCATTTAGGCTCCTGTCTTATGCACTGGCACAGTCTTTTATGAAACGCAGTACCCTGCACTCTCTCTTTTTAACATATTTTGAGTGAATAATATTAGGTTGACTTGTACTTGAGTAATTAAATGTCATCATTCTTCAAAATGATGCAATTTCTTGGTAAAGTAAAATGTATCTACTGATATGACTATCTGCCCATTTGAAGATATGAGCATTTGAATTAAGACGGTCAGTCACCCATTGACATTAAGTATCTTTTAGATATTTAACTGGAGTTTCATATTTACATGTGGTTAAAAGTAATCTGCTATAAGTTTGATTTACAGCCAAACCAGCAGAGTTTCGGCAACCCAAGAGTGCAGTGGATTCCTCCCATGATGATCAGATAGTGATCGAAGAAGGTGACGGAGCAGCTGATAATGGTGTTGAGAAGAAAACAGGTGCACCTGCATTGTTTAATTACAGATAGCTTAGGCGGATCCAAGGGGGTCCAGGGGTCTAGATGTTTGTATGCAGTAAAATTGGCCGAGAGAGGATTTGAATTATCCTGAATCTTCCCTTGGATAGTTAATACACTATGTCATCTTCCTGAGGCAAGTGAGTTAACTGACTATAAAAGTCAAGTTTCCACCCTTGCCGAACTAGGCTGGTATTATGGAGTTAGAATTTGGCTGGACTAACAAGTAAACTGTCGTGCAGATTTCGGTCGATTGCAGGATTTGCAAAGCATGTGCACTGCCAACTCGTCAATAGATATTTTCCAAACATTTTCATGTTTTTAAATAAAGGTGCTCGCGTGATTTGATGCACTTCGCGACTTACCTGTTTTATCACAACATAGATCTTGATTATCAATCAGATCGTCTTGCCTGGGTGCCACCATTTTGTTTGAAACAAATGCAAGTAATGGAATCTGATTGGTCCATGGGAGAGGCTTAGAAGGGACATAACTTGTAATAACCACTGGTGGCGCTACGATCGAGCCCAGGAATTCCAGCCAAGTTCGGCAAGGGTGGAAACTGGACTTTTAAAGTCCGTTAACTCTCTTGCCTCGGGAAGATGACACTATGTACACGTGTAGCACACTTGGAGTCTCCTTGGGCAAGTCACTTTGTTCATAATAAGCCTCTATTCACCCAGCAGTAAATGGGTACCTGTTAGGATGAGATGGTAATGTGGCTGTGAACCTTCTAGTGCCTCACAGGCAGCTTGGGTTGTATACTCCCCAGGGGTAATAATAGTGCAGCATCCAATAGGTGAATTGAATTTGGCGCATTATACTTATTATTAGGGATAAAGGCCTATTGTAATCATTCGATTTATGATTATGATTATTCCAGGGATTTTTGTACCAGAGCAAGCAAAATAACGACTGGCTCGATTTATGTGTATGAAGACCGTTGAGTACTAGATTAAGCCAAAATCCCAAAGCCCTAGGCCTAAAGGCCAAGGGCAGATAACTGAAAAACAAAAATGTTTTGAAGATGTATTTCACCCTATTACTCCGCAACCGATTATCCGATTACTTTGAAACCTTGCACGTATCTGCTGCCTGAGCTGCTTGACATATTTTGTTCCTTGACTTTGGCCATTGGTCATGTCGTTTGGCAGCCATGTTGGATTCAAGGTTTTCACAGTGTCTTTTGGGTACCTGTCTTCAAACGCAAACAACTTTGAGTCCACTGCATGAAATGCTTTCAAACTTTCTGGGAATTGTCTCCACACATAACACAGCAAACTCCAATTGCCGTTTTTTATAGTTGCATTGTATTGGATTTTGATCAATTTTTTTACCGAAATTTTACTTTAAAGATCATATCTTGTTAGATTGTTGACAGAAACATGTTAACAGTTTACATGAAGTTAGCGTATCATATGCATCTTATTTTCTATTCTTGGGTGCTTGGAAAATGTAACAACACTTGGTGGTAATATTTGATTCATATTTGGGACACCCATGGAACACGCCGATTTTGTAGCGGTGATGTCCTGCAAACGGTGACTTTCTTTTGACAGAGTTGGTACAAACAAACCCTTTGAAGATTCAAACATGTTTGATGTCAGAAATGGGTTTAGAACAGTCTTAGCACACGCCAATTTCGTAGCGGCGTTACCCTGCAAGTTGTGCCTACATGTGACGGATTTGGTGCAAGGAAACCCTTTGAGGATTCGAACATGGACGTTTGTGCACAGTGTAACTTGGAGCCCACCATTGCCCGCCATATATTATTATTATTATTATTATCATTATTATTATTATTATTATTAGCTTTGTTGCAGAAATGCTACAGAAGTCATTCTTCACTGTGTATTAGGACTCCATCAACTACAGCTTCGTACTGGAATTTAGTGTGAAATATTTGCTGTATTTTAACTTCACAGCTCAGCATCAGGAGTTACAGGACAAGCATCAAGTGGCATCAGATGAACGTCACGAATTATCCCATGATGATGAAGTTTTTATGGAAGACAGGGAAGAAACAGCTGATGTTGAGAAAACAGGTGAGGGTTATTCTTTTTTAATAAAGTTAATAAACAATTAAATATCCACTGTTCCTCAGGTTTGGCATATATATCGATATGCAATATATCACAATGTTTTAGTCTGTTTTCAGTCGTACAATTGGGTATCTCATACCTCTAGTCGCACTTTAAAAGGAAGCCAGAAGCTAGAATGTAAACAATAAACTTGTTTCCGTCTGGTTGCGCACGCACCTCCCTATGACATGCCACAAATCTCTCAGCGCGCCTCTGAGCTGGTCGCTCGAGAAGGACTTTCGCGATAGACTGCTAGTTTGTATTCTACTAGTACTTATCGTGTGTCTACAGTTGTTGTTCTAATAAAGTAATGATAATATGTCTTCCCTGTAGACTCCTGGAATGTAATCCTTGGTAATCCATTGTTTGTGTTCAACACGTGTTTCACTGTTTGACTTGATTATACACGTGGCAACATGGCGGGCATTTTTGCCTCGTGTCAACGAAAACTGTCTAAAGTAGATCCTCACAAGTATTGTCCTTCCTGCATAATTAAGGACGGGTTTTCAACGTGTTTGTGGGATAAACGTTGTAAAGAATGTGAGCACTTGTCTTCTATCAACTTTAACTTGTATCTTCGTGTGTTGGCGAAGCGGGCTACTGACCAGCGCTACAAGCAGAGAAGGTCATCGGGTGGATCCTTGGACTCTGCACCCTCTACATCTGGCCCTGGGGGTGGCGCGTCGGCCACACCCAAGAAGTCAGTTGATAAAGACCCGCCTCAGTCAACTTATGTTTTCGACAAGACACGTGACCGTTCGCCTACTGATGATACTTCCCGCACGACTGATCTTCGTCAATCGGTTGATCGAGAGCATCACTCAGCCACCCCTGTTACGACAGGACCGGGTGGTGACGAGGACCACGGGGGGACAACGGTCCCCAGTCAGCCCGTCTCTTGTCCTACCAACGACGATAGGAACTTCGTGCGGGTCGACAGTGAACACAGATCCCTCTCTAGAAGTCGTTCCCGTTCACGGGACAACAGGTCGAGGGCCTCGTCGAGAGACAGTAAACGACACGAGGACATTCGTCGCCTTCGTGGACGTTGTGAGTTCGTTTCGGACGATAACTACGATTGGGATCGTAGTACTTCTACAGTTAAAGATCGTAGCCCTCGCCCCCACGGGGACGTGCAACGCTCTGGAAGGGAGTTTTTTTTAGATCAGCGTCGTAGAGCTGATGACCAATCGACACGCTCGTCTCACTTTCCTATCGACCCGACTTTGATAGCCCAGATAACGGCGGCGGTACTCGCCTCGACGGCTTCGACCAAGAAAGATTCGACTACGTCGGAGGTCCATCGACCATCGACCAGTACCCCAGTTCCTTCATCTACGCCTACACAATCGACGTCGACGATGGATTGTGACGACAGCCCTCCTAGGCCTCCCAAAGACATTGAGTTGTTTGCTTGGCTATCTAACTTTCTGCCTGAGTTATCAAATGATGCCGACAAACCGACGCGTGCTGGCTTTAAGGTCGGTGATACGCCACAGTCTCCCTCTCTAGAAGTCGTTCCCGTTCACGGGACAACAGGTCGAGGGCCTCGTCGAGAGACAGTAAACGACACGAGGACATTCGTCGCCTTCGTGGACGTTGTGAGTTCGTTTCGGACGATAACTACGATTGGGATCGTAGTACTTCTACAGTTAAAGATCGTAGCCCTCGCCCCCACGGGGACGTGCAACGCTCTGGAAGGGAGTTTTTTTTAGATCAGCGTCGTAGAGCTGATGACCAATCGACACGCTCGTCTCACTTTCCTATCGACCCGACTTTGATAGCCCAGATAACGGCGGCGGTACTCGCCTCGACGGCTTCGACCAAGAAAGATTCGACTACGTCGGAGGTCCATCGACCATCGACCAGTACCCCAGTTCCTTCATCTACGCCTACACAATCGACGTCGACGATGGATTGTGACGACAGCCCTCCTAGGCCTCCCAAAGACATTGAGTTGTTTGCTTGGCTATCTAACTTTCTGCCTGAGTTATCAAATGATGCCGACAAACCGACGTGTGCTGGCTTTAAGGTCGGTGATACGCCACAGTCTCTTCAGTTTTCACCTCCCGATGTCTTCAGAGCCATGGCTCACGATATGGACCAGAACTTTGCCTCTGCTCTACCGGGACAGAGTTTCAACAAGCCGCCTGGTCAATCTAGTTACCCGATCTATGGCATGCCGTTTTCGTCACCCATGAGTAGGGACTTGGATTGGGGGCTACTCTTCAAGACACCAGCGCCCTCCAAGATTCTAGTAGAAGACAGGCATTTGGAATCCATGGACACTGCTGTTCGTCACCAGCTACAACCACTTGCTATGCTGTCGACAGCGATCGAGGCCCTCTCAGTGTACTTTGAGGAGAAAGACCCCCTCGACGAGGACGAAAAGACGGTGCCATCAATCCTCACCTGTATGCAACGGTGGATCTCGGACGTCCTCGCCCAGTCCCGATACATATCGGGCCAGATTACTACGGCACGTCGTCATGGTTACATCGCCTGCACTGACCTACCTGATCGTCATGGCCGGACACTCTTACGGGCCCCCAGGGATGTGAAATCTCCGCGGAAACGCGGAAAATCGCGTTTTATAAAACAGTAGTCCTCGGCAAAAATCATCTTCCGCGTAAAAAATTAATAAAATTTAAAAAAAACCACTCCGAAAAATATGATCGAAAACCGGACAATTGGCGCGGATTGTCCTGTTTTCGATCAGAGCTTTCACCAGCATAGGTTTTCGGACATCATACGTTTTCTGTCACGAATACTTGCACTATAACGTGGGGTGTGGCGTCACACAGAAATTGTAAATACTCAGAGTCAGCTGATGGCTTGTTTTTAAGATAAAGTTGTCTTTTAGCCTGTAAGTGAATGAGATGTTTTACAGTTGTTCATGTGATTAGCGAGAAAAATGTTTCTTCAGCGTCCAAAACCCCATGTCATGGGGATATATGTTGTATTAATGTCTTATGTTTGCAATGGAGTTTTGTTTTTTTCATCAAAAGGTAAGAACAAGGTACGTTTTTTTCAGAAACATTGGGAAAGGGTCAGACATTGCACGCTTGTGACAGTTGTCCTTGTGTCTGGGGGATGGGGGTTGAAGTTTATGGCAGTATTGCTCCCAGACCTGGCGGGTGGCCAGGTGCGCGAAAGCTATGCCCAATTTTTTAAAAGTACTGTTTTAACTTCGAAATTTTACTGCATCTGCCATCTTGTTTATTTGACTTATTGACTTTGGCCATTGACTTATTACATTTCTTGGTGTGAATGTTGTCCAAACTGCATGAAATTGCTTAAAATGCAATCAAATGTTTTAAATAAAATTTTCGGGGGGGGGGCATGCCCCCAGACCCCACTAGACCTTTCCTCCTTTTTCGGGAAAACCTGCTCACATCCCTGGGCCCCGTGGTCATCGCAACAGTTGTTTGACGGTCGTACCAACACCGTTCTGGACAAGTACTCCAAGGAAGCCGAGCGTGACATCATCATTTCGGCTTCACACAACATGTCCAGGCGGCCACCGGTTTCGAACGCCCCACGACGCCGTTATAGAAACGAGAATGTGCAACCGGCCTTTCGTAGGGACACACCTCGACAGCCGTCCCACGAGAGAGATGCGGACAGAAAAGGTCCCCAGGTCTCCTTTTCCAAGTATCTGGGGGGGCCAGAGCCAGCGGGGGCAGAAGTGAGGATCCTTAGACATGGGCGTACGCGCCCGTATCATCCCGGGGGCCAAGAATGTGATAGTCGACGCCCTGTCGTGACCATCGAGGCCGTCTCCCAAGGAGTGGATGATCCACCCGACAGTTTTTCATCTGCTGACAGATCGACTCTGGTTGCCTCAAGTAGATCTCTTCGCAGGTTCCAATAAAAACTGTTGGTGAATGTACGCATTCTTATGGTTTTTTGTTGCATGCAGTACTTCGGCTGTTTTATTATGGTTATTCGGTGTATGCATCGTCTTCCCATACTTTATAATACTGCTCATATTATTTAGTTACCTTGTATACTGCGAGTTGCTCCGTAACTAAATTATGCGCCGACTACACTTCGATCGCAGTTCAACTGACGTGTTCAGTTGTCTTGTCGCATCGATAATTAGTTGTGTGTCGAAGGGCATTAATCAAGCTGTTTTAGTTACCTTGTATACTGCGAGTTGCATTAACCATGCTATTTTTCGTTACCTTGGATACGACAAGTCGTTCTGTAACTACATTATAAGCCGACCACACTTCGATCGCAATTCAACTGACATGTGCAGTTGTCCTGTCGCATCGATACTTACTTGTGGGTCGAAGAGCATTAATCATGCTGTTTTAGTTACCTTGTATACTGCGAGTTGCTCTGTAACTAAACTATACATCGACCACTTCGATCGCAGTTCAACTGACGCGTGCAGTTGTCCTGTCACATCGATAATTAGTTGTGTGTCGATGAGCATTAACCATGCTGTGCGTTCGTGATAAACAATTTGTCTCGTCCGTGCATCTGGTCGAATGTTCTATTGTCACTACAGGGGTGAGGAACTTGGTCCATTCAACGTGAAAGAGGTCACTTCCTGATTACTTTCCCGGCCCTCCTTCCAGTGTTCCGTCGAATTCTACCCAATTGTACGACTGAAAACAGACTAAAACATGGGTTTTTCAGATTAAAAACGATGTTTTATTGGTCTGTTTTCAGTCGTACGTTCCCACCCAGCCATCCCCACTGGGAAGTAATCCAGTCCAGTCCTGCTTGATGGCTTATTTTTCGAGATTTGTGGCATGTCATAGGGAGGTGCGTGCGCAACCGGACGGAAACAAGTTTATTGTTTACATTCCAGCTTCTGGCTTCCTTTTAACTTGCGACTAGAGGTATGAGATACCCAATTGTACGACTGAAAACAGACCAATAAAACATCGTTTTTAATCTGAAAAACCCATATTTGTAATAGCATCTTTCTAGAAATTAAGATTAGTGAA